AAACCTGGAAGAATCTATAATATATATAAGTTTACACATAAAAGTTTGTCTAGAGACCAGAATTTCCGTCGCAATAACCGTACGGACCCAGTAAGCAGAGTCGTTATATCCGGATTCCCGTTTCTTCCAGGGCATACATCTTTTATTTATGTCCTCCTATACCCCATTCCATGGGGGCTTGTTTTAAATGTGGAGCCAAACATCAAATTAGATTAATCTTCTCTTAATAATGGGGAAGGGGCAAGGCACGATCTCATTAAGCTATTTTAGCGCAATGGAAACGTCTTTATTTAGCCTTTTGAAATGCTTAGAGTCCGAGTTGACTCAGCAGATTTTGACAGTCATAAAAAAATATTATATATGAAAATAATAATGAACTTGTATGTATAGCAATCTACTATAGAATCAGTAATTTAAATCAATCTCTATATCTCTTTTACGATCCCTCCCCCCCCCTCTCTCTCTCTCTCTCTCTCTCTCTCTCTCCACGCAAATAAGGACACTTTGGCACTTTCTTTCGACGCAGACAACTGCTGTGAATGCCTTTCCCAGGCCTTTGCAGCCGTTGCTGTGCTAGTTAACACCGCGCGAGACCCCAAAACGTAGTGTTAATAAATTAACACTCGGAGCTGAGATCCAAAGATCGAAATCAACAACAGCAACAACAATTTGGATACGCATGCGAATACGTGAGAGTGGGATGCGAATACACACATACGTATATATCATTTGCTTAAAACACAAATCAAAGCGCTGCAAAATCTCGGACACTTCCTGATGCAGCGGATCCAATGGAGCGACTGCCTCACACGGCACCCGGTGCACGGCTCATGGCTTATGGCTGGCAGCACACGGCTCACGGCTAATGGCAAATGGCTAATGGCTGATGGCTGATGCCTTGTGGCGACCGTTCGCATCGTTAGGGACGTTTCAATAATTTACCTGAGAAATTACATGCGGCCAGGTGACGAATGAAAGCAGCCGCCGCTGCGGACAGCAGTAAAAGTTGCCAAGTGAAAATCGCCAACTGATTGCGATTTGGCCAGTCGACACGACGCGACGCTGCGCGAGGAGGCGACTTGGCTGCGAGCAGCATCAATTTATCTTTCTCATATTTTTGCCAGATAAACACGAAAAGTAGACGGACTGCAAACAAATCATGCGACTGACTGCATAAATCACACAACACATTTGACACTTTCGGGATGCGACTGCAGCAATTCAGCAATCGACCCAAGTCGATTCCAAGTCCTCCACTCCAGCACAGATCCAGCAGATCCACAGCACAACTCAACACACATTGGCAACTACTGACTGAAGGCAGAGGAAAGTTTCGGGGTCTCTTGTCCCATATTGGATTTTTTATGTGTGTTGACTGAGATCAATCTAATTGGCCCTAATAAGTATTTTGCTTGAAAGGACTGACTTAAATAGATAAGTTCAAATCTAAACTAGTGATATTAAAATAGAAATAATTTGAAAATAATACATATATTATTTTATATATTAAATAATAAATAATAAATATACAATAATAAATAATAAATACTACATATAAAAATAATATAAAATTAAAATATATAAATACCTTTTTCTAAACAAACTTCTTCCGATTTCCCATTGTGAATGGGTTCAGGGTCTGTCTATATATTTATATATATTTACTATTCAGATAAGGAGCAAACATTAACTTTATCAACCAATCAATCAGTATATACATACATAAATATGTATATAAATGGGTGTCAAAATGTAGATAGTTAACTAAAAAGTCTGAAATGTCAATAAATAACCTGAAAGTGGCACTATTTCATCTTGATAATTGCTTTAGCTCTCTCATATCGAATATCAAGCTAATCTATGCCAGAATCTCTCACTTTCGACATCTCCCGGCAAAATTTGTTCGTCTTCGCTGTTTCGCTTGATTTTATTGTGCTTTTTTTGTCTTGCTTAATGAGGCTAAAGAGTTAGGGCTTGTTTGAAGGTTGCGAAGTGGGCAAAACGAAGTGCGGGGCAAGCGGATTACGTGCCACCCATAAAGGTGCTCTGGGTGTCTTCCCACTGGCGCTGCTACCAGGAGTGGCCTGTGCCTGCGCTCTGCCGCTGCTGCTGCTCCTCTGTGTGCTGCTCTGTGCTGTCCCAGCCACAACAGTCTTTGCCGCTCGACACGAAGTTGATTACACTGATGGCGTTGCCGTGTAGCTGTCAGCATCGTTGCCTGATGATGACGATGACGAGCTGGAGGACGCGAGACCCCGACGCAGCGATGCAGTTGCTTCAGCTGCTGCTGCTGTTGTTGTAGTCGTATCTGCTTGTTGTCAAAGCGAAAGCGTCTGCCAGGCTGGCTGGCTGGCTGGCCAGGAGCTGCCCCTGGCTCAGCGCGTCTTGACTCGACTCTGCCCGGCTCGCTGGCTGTGTAATAAATCTGTCAGTAGGTGATTTTTATGGCCCCGCTCGACACTCGCCTCTGCTCGCTGGCTCGCCTGCTCACGGCTCACAGCTCACAGCTCACAGCTCTCTGCTGTTTATAATCAAATAATAAATGCGCTTCCAGGTCTTCCCAGCCGTCCCGAACCAAGTCCGAAACCAGGTCCCGCCCGGGTCTGCGTTGGCGTGGCCAACAGTGCAACGTCAAGCTGTGGATTTATTGTCGTTATCCGAGTCGGAGCGAATTGTTTATCATAATATAGACACATATTTTAGTGGGTATTTAAGTAAACAATAAACATGCAGTTGATTGAGCAAAAGCCCTAAGACCCGGCCAAATGATTGACTCGATAAACCGGATGCAGCGAGCATTTTGTAAACTTTATTTACTAACACATGCCCATTGAATACGAAATAATGGCCATTCCCTGCAGTCGATTAAAAGTTTATAAAATAAATCTCATTTCGTGTATGCTTATTTATCTGGGCTCAATCTGGAATAGATCTATTGCAATACTCAACATGCCAGACTAAATGGTGAGCGATAATATATAATATATATTGTATATAATAGAAGATGCGAAGTTTTAGATATGGATTCCGTTTGCCTGTAATATATTTGAAGTAAAAACAAAACTGAAGACCAAAAACTGTTCTATGCCAAGCTGTTGCTTAATTTAATTTTTCTGGCAATTTTTGTAGAACAAAACCTAACCTATTTTAAGAAAAAATATGAACATGCAATACTCAAATTAATATTTTTTTTTATTCAATTATACATCACAAATGCTTTACTTGCGGCCACGCCCAAAGCCACCGCGAAACTCCACAGAAGCATTGCCAGCGCCCACATTGCCGGCTTTGTCCGAGTCCATGGGACGCTCGGAGCGACGGTAGATGGTGCGATCGTCGCGATCGCGCTCCTTGCCCTCGCGTGCTCCGCGGGAGCGAGGATCCTCGGAGGTGCGCGACATGCGCACGGGCTCGTTGCGGCGCTGCAGAGTGGTGGGCACCACCTCAGTGGGCATGTGCAGGTAGCCCCTGAGGTACTCGATGCCCTCGTTGTTCAGGCACCAGTAGTAGTGGCGCCAGGCCGACTGCTCCGAGACGTAGCCGCGCGACTTCAGTGACTGCAGCGCCTTGATCACCCGCAGATTGCTCAGGTGCTTCAGCTCCTCCTCCGGGTGCATCTTCTGCGGCGCGCGCTCAGCAAACATAACTCCCGAGCGGAAGAGCACCGTGTAGATGGCATCTCGATCCACTTTTCGCATAAACATGATTTCAAATACTTTAAAATCGAATTAAATTTCGATGAAGTGAGGCGAGGTGAAACGTCGACTGTCGCTTGATGAAATGATTTTTCGCTTGACATGTGCTTTGGTCTTGCCTCGTCATGTACAGTGTTGCAAAATGCAAACTTGAATCGATAGTTAGGGTTCACAGTTTAAGCGATAGATAGAGTTTGAGGACAATTGGAAAAAAATTGTCTTGCTGTGTTTAGTGTTCATTCGATAGTAATAAAATTATCAAGATTTTCAATAAGAATTTCTACGTGAATATTCTTCGGCTAATATTATGTGCACACATTTGCCAGCGGGATATGTGTATGTACATATAGGTGTGTGTCTGTGTGTGTACGCATGTCTTCCTCGCATTAACGGCATCTCAATCGTCCGCATCCATGTTGGCCAAAAATATGTCAAAGCAGAGGCGCCGCGACAACTTTGTTAAGTGCAAGAGGCACTCGACAGAATCGGGCCCAATTCATATAGGCATACATGTACATACACACAAATGTATGTGTATGTGTATGTATATATCTTTCCCATCAGTTGATGTTGTCACTTGCAACGCGTTGCTGCAAATTGTCGTCGTGTCTGTCACAGCAAACAGACCCAGCCAATACGGACAGCGCGCATCGAAGGAATGTTTCATATCTGCCGAACGACCACAAAGTGCCAAATGTTCTTATTCTTCTGTTGTTGTCGTTGTTGTTGTTGCTTACTGATTGAGTGACTGACGTTGGGGCAATGTTTGCCAAGTCGGCAGCCAAACAGCCAACTAAACCAACTGCGCGGAACGTGCTTTGGGTCTGTTGCATGACTGACGCATGATGCATGATGTGAACAGGTTACACATTTTCAATTTTGACTATAGATAAGCTTTACCTGCACTATAGTGCAGTGGTTAGACTCCCCTAATAATATATGATTTCATAGCCTCGTTAGTTGATTAGTCAAAGAAAAGTAAAAATACAAAAAAATAAATTAATTAAAAAATAATTAAAATTAAAAAATATTTGTATGTATAATACATATACATATTATATATATTATTATATACATTCTTGGTTACGCGTTTTTATATATTTTTTATTTTTAACTCGGTTACCCAATCTCATTGTGGCTTGTATAATTTGACTAATTTATTACATTTTTTTTTTTTTTTGTTAATGTTTTATATTTTACCATATTTCTTTACCAAATTACAACTGTTTTCCATCAAGAATATTTTTTGAAATTCATTTCAAATATTTTTAACATCTACGTAACATCATTTATTAAATATAAATTAAAAAAAATTTACAACTGTCAAATGTATATTTATACAATTTATAAAGCTAACATAATTCAATTCCCCTTAGTTCATTCTGACTTCATACGTAATCTGTTTACATACAATGTTGCTTGATCATATCAGTTGGTCCATGGAAATTGTCATGAATGTGAATGTATGCAAAATATCATGGTCCATGGACTAAAATAAAACATAAATTCATAAATGAGTGCAACACTTGGCGCTCTGATGGCCAACAACAACTTTTATGGCCCACAGCACACACACACACACCGAGGAAACTGACGAACGGACCGACTCACTGGCGGATTGGCTGTCGGGCTGGCTGGCTGGCATAAGATCTCCCGACATAAATTGTCAGCTGAAGCGTTTCGTCTACTTCGTCATTCTGGCGCATGAATGAATGTCATATTCTTGGCTGAAGATGACGAACTGCTGACAGGTGGCAACGTCTAATTGGGCTTCTTAATTTTTTGACACTCGCGCATAAAGTGATTTACATACATCCGCCCCGCCTCGACTCGTTTGCTCACTATTTCGGTTGCCCAGAGCAGATACCAGAGACAGACAATTGCTTGGCTGCCGAGTAAATTCCTCGGAATTGCCACAGTTCTTCAACGTGGTCGTCGTCGCGCCTGTCATGTTGACAATCCGCGATTCCCACTGCCTCTGCCAGAGGGGCCAAGCGGGAGGGGCTGGGAGGCGGATGGGCCTGCAATTGGCAAGAGGAGGCCAAACATATCGGACAACCACGCGTTCATCATCATAATCATCATAATTCCCTGCCAAAAAAAATGCCCCAGCAAGCACTGTCACCATGAGCCATGTCGTTCTCTGCAATTGGCACAGTGGAATGCAATGCCAAATATGTGTGTAGATTCATCAATCATTGTTATTGAAAAACTAAAGTGCAACAAAATTGATTAGAAAATAAATATAAATTGCATTTAAAAATTTACGAAAATTTCATTACCAAGTTTTGCTTTCGATAATATTTATGATAATGGGAAGCTTTTTCTGTGTAGATATTGGGCTGAGTTAGGGAACTACTCCAATTACATGAACTAACGTTGATGTTTACAGTAAATAAAGTTCATTATGAATTTATCAATCCATAATTAGTATATTTGTGTAGTTTTATATGGTCACACTAATATATTGAATTCAAACAGTAATCGATAGATTTTATATAACTGGCGAATGGCAAATCTTTTTGCATGTTTCGAAAGCTCAGTGGTTTAGATAACATCAGCAGCTGATGACATTGAGCTATCGATAATAGCATGACGCTTACTTGGCCGCATCCATACATATTCCAATAGGCATTTCTCGGTAAGTGAGTCAGCTCACTAAATCTATTCGTTAACAGAAAAATAAGTTGGACTATTGTGTCGCCCTTTGTTGCTGTCTTAATAGAAGGTTTTAGTTGCCAGAGCTGGTTCAAAATAATAATATAACAAAAATGCATTTTGGCATTGAGTATCTCCATATTTCTACAAAGAGTAATAATAAATTAATGCAATTTTATTTTAATATTTTTTGTATCCAATACTTACATTTTACATTCATATGATTAAACAGGCTTCTATTCAGTTACCACTGTGCGTTTGCTCGGGCTAGGCAGCTAAGAGAAGTCCACAGCAGAGAAGAAGACGACGACGACGCCGAAGACGACGTTGACGCTGAAGCTTGTCACTTGTCAGTTGTTTGTCATCTGACATACATGTGAGTGATATATAAACACACACGGTCGGCGATGCGACTCGACTTGAGTTGGCCATGTCCACGTCGCCCTACTACTACTACTACTGGGGGTATTATCCACATTCACACAGCCACATTCATGTCCACATTCAGGCACTTAGTCTAAATTTCCGCGTACTTAGTGGCAGAGCGGGAGAGGGAGAGGGAGTGAGAGATAGAGCGAGATACACTCTCGTATATGCATTTGCTTGTTTTTTGTCAGCTAAATTTATTGCTTCATTTGTTTCACAAAATCCACTCGCAAAACCTGGCAGCAATCGTCCGCCACCTCGGCAACGGTATTCACATGGCCATAGGCATAGGCCGTCTCTCTTTAGAGGGGTGGCGCGGTTCGGGGTTTACACTTTAGTATTTCACATGTCAGTGATATATCATCGCGCAATTGGACGCAGCGCGCAAAAAACAGCAGCGGCATATGAAAATAAATTTGAATAACCAACCATTAACATTGGATCAAGTGCCACTTCCGCTGAGCTTCCTATAATGAAATGAAAGTTAGTCTCTATCAATCAATCTGTCACTGGTGTTTATATATTAATATGTTTAATAACTTATATAATTCATAATGCATTTGAATAGCTTTTTATTATCACTATAGTTCATTTTGATATTCATATTCTTCAAGGCAAAAGTTCAACTTTCCCAGTTTATTCTGTACAAATTTCACGGGTGTATTATACTCCCATCAATAACTGAAATCATGGCTAAACTATTCACCAACTAAATCTAGCTATTGCTTAAGGCTCAAACAAAAGTTTTGTGACTTGTAAACTGAAATTAACCACAGCCGAAAATTGGCTCCGTCACATGCCGGGCTCTGCATGACCTATACATAGAGATATACTTAAATAATATATGGTATATGGCGTATTTACAGCCGTGGCGTAAGACATTTATGACGTTTATCGTATGACGGACGGAATGCAAAACGTCACGTAGTTTTGATTGACGAAACAAGCGCGCAAAGTTTCTACCTGACAAATCGCCGGACAGACTACGAAATGGACGGACGAGTGGGCGGACGGACGGAAGGATAGACGCGTCGCCGTGGCTAGAACAAAGCGCCCAAAAGACGGACGAAAAACTTTTGCAATGCATTTCGCACGGCGCTTTGTGCTCTCCCACAGCGTAGCAAGGGAGCCCAATTCATTTGTACGTGCGTTCGTATATGTGTGTCTAAATCAAGTAGATATGTATGTATATATATACATACATATATAAACCTCTACAAGTTATTTAATCTCATCTGTCTATCAATCTGTCCATCAATTTGCCAGTCAGTCAGTCAGTCCGTCAGGCTGGCGCTTAGCTTAGTGCAGTTCCGTTTGCTTTCGTGTGTTTCGAAAGGCACCCAAAGTAGTAACAATGTATGTCCATCTACCCAGTCACACACACACACACACACTTTCAAACATTGTGAAGGATTGTGCAGTAACTACGATGGCTGTCCATCATTTTGTCTGCTCTATAAATTTTCTATTTTAAATTGACAGCGCTTCCTCCAAAACTGAAGCTAAACGGAATCGAGGCACTCAACCTCAGTTTCGCCCGCCTCAAAATTGAACATTGGAATTGAATGGATTGAGTGAGTGAGTGACTGACGGACAGATGGACGGCACGGACGAGACGATGGGGCGGACGGACGGATAGAGTGACGTCCTGTCTGGGTAAATGAGCGAACGGGTCGAGGCAGTTGACAGATTGACGTCGTCCTCGTTGGCTCCCCTGCTTCCGCTCGCCCCTCTCTCACCCCAAAGCCTCTGCAACCTATTCTATTTAGTGTTGAACTTGAGCGGCAAACGTATATTCAATTGGCATGTTGCATTAAATTGAACTCAAGGACGACGCTTCAAATTAAATGGCATATTGCATTTAGCTCCAGGCTGCTCGTATACCGAAATTAAGTTATAATTGCGAGGGAATATAAAATTGATGAATTCACTAGCCAAATTGAACAAAAAAAAAAGGTAATTTGATTTTTAGCTGTTTTATCTAGAGGTATAACAAAATTAAGGGAAAATTCAAAAGAAATTATTGACGTTGAATCCCAGTTTAGGCTTTGAGTTTATTTTTTTTTATGAAATTATATTTTAATTTGTTTATTTATATATATTTTTTAATTAATTATTTATTATATAATTTAATAATTATTTATTTTATTTCTTTTTTAATTTTAATGTTATTTCTTATTTAATTTTAAATTTTTCACTTGAGGCTCTTTTATATTAGGAAAAAAATATTTTTGCAACTTTTCTCTTATAAGTTTATTTATATAATATTAAGAGACTAATATAAAATATATTATATATTATATTGATATACATCTTTTTCTTAGAAATATCCTCTACCTTCATCTATAGATATGAAGAAATTCTCAAAGAATTTCTCTAAATTCCACTCGCTTCTATTCGGAGCTCATTTTCACTTCACAATTGCGTGGGTGTGTGTAATTTGATATATGACCGCATATTTATATGCATTGGGAGAGCCCTCCTCAGTCTGTTCACCCTTGATAACTCAATTCTGTGACTGTGTCTCTACATATATCCCTCGTAGTTGCTATAAAACTTTGTCAACTGACACCTGTCTAGCCATAAGTATACCGAGCACCATCATAAGAAGTCCAATTATTTGGTCAACTTAAAGCTTATAACCCTAAAAACACTCTCACTCACAAGACACACACATAGAAAACTGTTTATTGTTCGTCGCGTCCTGCAGAAAATTTATGCACGTCGTGTATGACAACAACAATAATAAGAAAGGAACTAAAATTGTCTGTTTACTTTAAAAATTATTTTCACTTGAGTGAAAAATCATTATCCCTAAGGTAACACAGTGCGCGTTTGTTTTCTACGTTCCGGTGGCAAAGGAAAAGTTCAGGACCCCTCATCCGATGTCCGATGTCCGATGTCTGGTGTCCGTCAACTGTTTGGCCTGGCTGAACATGCGTTTGCCCAGCATTTTTCCTACTCTCTTGCTCTTGCTCTTCTTCACTGCCCCATCTCTCGACTCGACTCGAACGCCCACTGTTGATTGTGTGGCCGTTGGACACTTTGTAAGGACGGCTGGGTGGGGCTGGGCTGGACTGGGCTGGGTACATTATGTGTGTATGAAAGGATAGAAACCTGTCTCTGACAAGTCATCGTCAGCTGTCAACTTATTCTTTTGAAGTGTATTTAGTTGTGTTGTTGTCGTCGTCGTTGCTGCTGTTTTTTGTTGTTGTTGGCGTTGAACTGGGTGGTTGGGCCATTCCATCCGTTTGGTCATTCATTTGAAACCGCCCTGCAGTCCCTTTGACCCTGTCTCAAGCGACTGACTAAAAGATTGAATGAAGCGTGTGCCGCTGAGTTCGTCAGCTTGTCAACTTTGGTTCGTATTGCTTTTGGCCTTCAGTGCTTCAGTTGTTCTGTTCGGTCTGATGCTGTTGACACTGGCGCATAATATAAAGTAACGGCACAGTTAATGTCCAGCACTGGACAAACTGTCAACCGTGTCCAATAAACACACAGACAAAGCCACACACATGCGCTCTGTGCGTATGTATGTATGTATGTGTGGGCAGACAATTTGATGTGTGCTATAAAAAATTGAAGATGATTTTCAAATATCTTCAAGACAGATTCCAAGAAATAAACTTGACATTATAAATATTTCAGGTGAAGCGAATACAGAGACTACTAAATATATGTATATATAATAATATATATAAATCGATAAATAGAGGCTAGATTATTTATTTCTTATTAATATGTTATTTATTTCTTACTATATGCTATATCTACTATTAATACATTATATAGTCTTTATTTATATTATTGTCTATATTTAAAAATGTCAATTTGGACCAAAACCTTTTTCTGGGGTATAAAATTTAAAAATAAATTAACAAATATATATAATACAATTTTCTAAAAGAAATTAATAAATAAATAAATAGTTAGCTACCAAAAATTTGTATAATACAACAGGAATATGTGAGCTTTAAATACCAATGGGCACAAGGCTTTAAATGTTTTCAAAAATACCTAAATATAAGGAGAAATTGAAGAACACACATGCTTCATTTTCTGTGACAGATATATAATAATCTAATTTAGCAAAGTTTAAGATGCAATCAACAGAGGTTGCAACAGCAGCAACAACTCATGATAAAGCAAAAAAATGTATGAGTTTTCAATACATAGAAATAAGCAAAGAAAGAGATGGAGATAGAGTGAGACAGCCATTAAATCTTTTTCTAGAAGAAGAGTAGAACTAGTCGATGATAGCAAACTCTGACCTAATGAAGTTGAGAGGTTGCAGAAAAAGCTTCAATGGCAGCGCACGCTCAATTTCACCTAGTTACTGAATATATATAGAACATCGGTAAACATGTTAGTCAAAACTCTTTTCTATGACTCACACATTTCATTCCGAAAATAAAAAGCCCAAAAGCTTCACATACATACATTTAGTCCCGCATCTAGCCTAAGCTTTCAGAGCTAATATCTTTGCTCGCACGGAGTCCCAATCCAGGAGAGAATTCATATTATTCACTGCGCTTCATTCTTATATGATTGCTGCTATGCTTTTTGAAAACAAATAATATAGCGGTAAGCATATCTGCTTATTTGTGGATAGAGCACAAACCAAATGCAGTTTTCAATTGATAAATGTGTGTGTGTGTGTGTGTATGTAATGGCTTTTCTGTCCTTGCCCTGCAACTAAAAATCAACGTTTCAATTAACAGGAATTTTACAAAACTTTTCTGCCCGAAAATAAAAATGAGAAGAAAGGAAAAAGCTTCAGGAGCAGCTAGTCAAATTTCAATTTAATTTCTGGCAACAAGCGGACGAAGTTCGTCAAACCAAAACTCAGAAGTGACGAACTCTGTCCTGACGTTTGGGGCGGGGTGACCCTTCATCAGACAGAAACAACAAAAATTAGCACGAAGTGAAGCGGGCGGCAGGCGGGCGGCATATCCAAAGGACACAAGCCAAGAGGCCATAAGGATGCAGCGGATGCCGACGAAGTATAAGCAGAAGATGGACAAATGGAAAGCATAAGGAAAAAGGACAATATTGGACAAGTTGGCACACATGCGACAGCGAGGAGGGCTACAAAGAGAGGCAGAGAGAGAGAGAGAGAGAGAGAGAGTGGGGAGCGTGAGACGTGGACAGTGGTTGGGTCAGAAACATCCTGACGAGATGTAAACCGACAGCAGAGCAGCAGCAAAGGCAACAGCCGTTGGTTTGACTTGAGCTTGAGTTGATGACGAAAAAGATGACAAGTTGAAAATTTTTCTAATGAAGGACCTTTTGTAGCACAAAGGACACCCACACACACACACACATATATATATATACACACTGAGACATGCAAACCGATGGCCAGACAAGCGCTTGTACTTCTACTTGTATATATGTATATGTATTTAGCTATATATAACAGCAGATTTCATTTATAGCTTTCAGCAGCAGCTCCAACGACTATCCGAAGCTGTATACTCTAGGTGTGAGTTTCTAATTGTAGAGGTGTTAAGTGAGTTCAACCGGTTTATTGCAGTTTAAGCTATTTAATTGGCTATATAAAAATTTAGTAGTAGTAGTGGATATTATTAAAAGCAAAAGCCTTTCAATATTTAGCTCCTAAGTCAAATTGGTAAGCTAATTTTCTAGTAATATTTAGTTATGCTCATTAAACTAATTTTGTTCACATTTTCAGATCATTTTAAATCCTTCTAAAGTCCAGGGCTTACGTCATAGATTTTTGGAACTACAAGCTTTATAGAGGAAATATCAGACTTATATAAATACAGATGATTTAAATAATTATTTGATTTTTCGTCAACTCACTGCTTAACAAAATGAGAGTAGATTTCGAGGCCGTTGATAATATCGCTATGCTCAACTCTAGAGCCTTCTTTTTCAAAGAGCGCATCAAAACGGTCCTTAAAAAAATAAGAAGAAATTGAAGTGTGCTTGTTGGTGGCGTCAGCAACTCGACTTGAAGCATGAGAAATTACAAAGTTACTCGCCTCCAGTTGTCAATCCGTTGAAGGATCTTTGTTATCTGCTCCAATGCACATGCGGGTGGCGGCTGTCGGCTGTTGGCTGTCGTCTACGGACTGTGTACGGGACCCGGTCCACGGCCAAGACGTTTGCCCTGCTGCGAAGATGTTGTTGTGAAGATGATGTCCCTGAGTGGATAGATAAAGGATTTGTGATAAATGAAAAGCAAGTGGCGTATGAAAGCAAAAAACGCAAAGAAAAGGAAAAATATGTGTGTCGCACTGAACCAGCTCTGGCTGGCGCTGACTGACTAACTGACGGACAGCTCCTCTATCACATTGACGGTCCGGCGTTGTTATCCTGTCGTCGACTACTACGGGGCTGACATCTTCGTCAGCGACGAATGCTCTTAGCTTTGATGTACACGCATTGGTGCTCTGCTGCTGCCCTCTTCCTCAACTGCCTCCACTCAACGTCTTCTGTCCAGCCTGTCCTAGTTCGAGTGCAACAGCATGGCACGAAGCTTACATTGATTATCGATGGTAAATATATTTGAAAGACTGGACTATGAAAATCTTCTGAGACGGTTTATGCTCAAAATTATCGTCTTTCTGCTCTAGCCTGCCTACCAGGCCTTATCCGCTATAGTATATCTATTTATTCTGTCTCAAATTTGTCCAACTTATGGAACATTTTCTCTCAACTATTTGTACTGCGGCAGTTGGAATAAATTGCAAAAATAAATTGAAAATATGAAATATCGAAGGTTGACATCGTGCTGCCTTTCTCTATAAACAGCTAGCGAATGATTTATCCTTCCGCATCGGTCTCTATTTCTCTCTCTGTCTCTCTCTCTCTCTCTCTTTCTGTAGCGATTTGTACGTTGCTTGTCAGCGTTGTCCATTGTCAATTCGTTTGTTGTCACATGCGTATCCTGCGGGGTTGTTTCATCATCTTCAGCATCAGAAAAAGGCAGCAACGGGGGGCGAAGAAAAATGAGCTGATGCACAGCTTTTGGTTTGATTGAAGGTTGTGATATTTGACAGATTCGATTGAAAATCCTTTGGGCAAGCACAAGACGGACGCTCGGACTCGATTGAGTGACAGACTGACCGGCCAACTGACAGCCAATCCAGCCAAACGCCGAACACCGTGCCAGACTAGACCCATCAAGCCGGATGGGTGTTTGCAGATTGTGACAGCGGCAAAAGGGTAAATAACAGCTGCAGTGGGAGAGACCAGACTCAGTGGAAATAAATTGAAAGTGTGCTGTGAAGGAAAATTGACGAGCTGCCAGTGGACCACCACTGAAGGGGCCACGATGGGGCGTGGCATTTGAGGGATCCTTCCGCTACAGTTTGTCTGATTGACTGAAAGGTGATTGAACTTATTTGCATAAAATAGCCAAACCTAGACAATTTCGTCTCTAGGTTTTCCCTGTCACTCTCTCTCTCTTTCTGTTTCTGTTTCTGTCTCCCTCTCTGTTTGGACTTTAATTTGGCAATGTGGAATGGGACTTGTGAGTGCCAGACAACTGCGACTTGCGGTTTGACAAAAATACAGAAAAAGACATTTCCCAAAGACAATTGCAATGTTCGGGTAGCTGAGCGGAATGGGCATAACACATCTGTTTCGTACAAATTCATTCAGTCGATTGTTCCCAGCCAGACAGGAAGACCCAGCCGGAGCTGCTGGGGGGCGACACTCAATTCCGTCAACAGAAAAGTTCAATCAGAAATTAAGAAAACAGCCGCCGCGAAAAATTGTCGCGCGAAAAACTTTGCACCCCGCCAGGCCAATCGCAAATGGGTAAATGGGTAAATGGAAATGAAAATGGAAAATGGTAAATGAAAAGAAAATGGCATTAGACAATGAACGAGCTCAAGGAAACACAGGCCCCACTCTATGGCAATGCGGCACATTTCATCGCGTGTCGAAGACGCATTTGATGGCTCGACGACACTTCAGACATTTCCGCAGACTTCGACAGCGGCTGAATTCAACAAGCAGCAATTGAATGAGGTTGAGTTTTCACAGCGTAAATTAGTAGAGGCATACGAATATATTTTTCCAACAGATAAGTATTCTTCAAGTGCTCAATGCTAAGTGAAATTGGCTGGTATTTTGATTTTATCTAAGGATTTTTGTATGAAAAACTTATTTACTTTATTTAAATAAAAAAATATATATTAAAATTTTCCACATTTTTTTTTAGGTATACTAAAAGATATTACAGTTCATTGGAATAGATACCAAGAGCAAATCCGATTTAATACAGAGATTGGAATGGAAGAAATAAAATTTAGTTATATTGGAACTGTTAAAAAAAGTTGTAATATTCTATTCTATATTATTACTATTATATGGAGCAGATCTACCATAGCTGTATCCTCTCTGTATAGTACTTGTTCATTACCTTTTCATATTCTTGTATCCTTCATAATCAAATCTTTGTTTTCGCTGTGGATGTTTCGATGCTTGTCGGTTTATTCAATTATTCCAGGTGAAATATATATGTTTTGAAATCAATTCATTTTTTTGGCGTTGTAATTTTGCGCTGATTGAAAAAATATGCGAAGCGTGCATAAATTTTTGCGACTGGCCAAATGCCACAAACTCAATTTACGATGAACAATCAATTTTGTATCGAACGATCGGAGGTTGACTCTTGGCCCCCATTCGTTAGAGTTGCCCGGCCCCAGTGGGATCCCACTAAACAACAACACACAACACCCGCCACACACACACACACACACTCTCTTGTAACACATTCACTTACATATTTCATTTTGTTTATTTGCATTCCGTCGCACGTTGCTTTGGCATTGCCCGACTTCAACTTCTTGACGTTACGTTAGAGTTTTGGTTCCCAGAGCTGGAATAGGAGCGGAGCGAAAAGCTGGCTGCGGAAATTGAAATTTGCGCTGTGCAAAGTGAAGGCGGATCGATTGCAGGCACTGATCAAAGTCAACAACTCGCAAAGCCTACTCAACTGCAGATACAACAGATACAGATACATTGCTTGTGGCGTATCTTAAGCTCTCTCTCTCTCTCTCTCTCCCTGTCTCTCTCTCTTTCTCTATCTCTCTTGACTGCAACTTGCTGTTGTTGCTGTTGCTGTTGGCAGTTGAAGCCTCGGTGCAATTTTTATTGTTGGCATTATTATCGTCACATGTCGCTCACTAATTGATTTTTCTTGTCGCCTGCCTCGTCGCTCGTTCGTTGCCTTTCGATCGACGCGCGGATCGTTGCTCGATCTGAATGATTGGCTGCAGTTGCTGTAGTTGTTGCTGTTGTGGTTGCCGTTGCTATAGCTGTTGTTGTTGTTGTTAATTTGGATGCTGTTGTCGCAGTTGCTTGCAAATTTTGTGCGCACATGACACTTGCCGAGACAGGCAACATCAGCGCTGCCAGTGCTGCCAAATGTGTCAAAGTCGCGGTTGCATTAATAAATTTTACGTACATCACACGGGCCACTTCTACTATCTCACTCTCTCTTTCTCTGTATCTGTAATTGGTAATTTCTCTGTCTCTTTGGACGACCTGGCTTCCAGCATCCGTTTGAGTTGTCTATTGGACTCAGTTCATAGAAGCTTTAAATTAAATTAAATTAAAAGAAAAATTCAATACATAAACATATATATATATATATATATATATATTTTAATACAAAATTGTATAATATAAAATAATAATAATAATAATAATAATGATAAATATAAATATACATTTAAAAAAAGATTTGACTTTATTGAACAGGAAAATATTTAATTTTTTATTTTTTGAAAATTTCGGTAATTATTTGATTATTATTATCGAATTTTCTATCATAATTATGTATTGCATTTAATTTTTTGTTTTAATTCAATTTGAACTTGGACATCGAATAAAAAATTATATTTTCTCTTACAGCTTTTATTTATTTATATAAAAAGATATTATAAATCTTGTAAAATTTTTATTTTGATTTTCTATATATTACTTCAAGGAGGATCTCTGCCAAATGGGAAAGAGTTCTGCAACTTGCCTCCCCAACAGAAGAGAGAGAATCGACAATCGAAGCTGCGATTTGGACGCTGGGCTGTTGGGAACTGTTTGGCTCTGTGTTCGCATTGACATTTTGTCACTTAATTTGTTGTTTTTGCAGCGGGCTGCTGCAGGTTGGCTGGCTCGGCTTGGCTGCTTGCTCGGCTGCACAGGCAACTGGTTTGGCTTGGGTTTGCTTTGGCTGAGGCAGCTGGCAGTCGCTCCTGCTGCTGCTGCTGCTGCTGCTGCTAGTCGGCAATTGCCTCAGCTGCATGGGGCAGCAATTTGTTGGCCGATCGCAGATAGGGCAATTTTAATTGGACTTAACGGAAACTAGCAAAGAAATGCATGCAAAGCATACAAATGAAAGGTGAAACCGCAGACTGGGTAATGCCGGTGAGGAGAGCACGGACGGGGGTACAGCATGTCAAAGTCTTGGCTAACTGCTGGTAAATGTGTTGGCTGCCTGGCTGGCTGGCTGTGAATTGAGCTATCTAAGAGTGATCATAGCAGCAGTGATCGCAGCTTGATTGCGCCACTCGGGATCCTGAGACCGAATCATTCTTTGACAGCAGCACAGATCGTGAGAAATTCACTTGGTGAATGCCAATTGCCAACTGATTTTCACAGCAAGTTAACATTCCGAGAGTACAACAACTTTCAAGATGGCTCAATTGTGATTTACTTATTATCGATGATCAGAAAACTGTTGACAACACCAACTATGCCATTAGGATAAAGTTGTTTTTCAATTGTATTAAATTTATATTGCTGAATTCTTAAAGGACTAAATTCAATCCAGATGTCTATCAATCATTTCAGTCCTTGCCATGGATTTCTACTATCTAAAACAATTTCCGTGGACCTTAGACAAATGTGACTGCATTCACAATGCTGTGCTTTGTTTCCGCCGTCAAGTGGGTTAGGGTCCAGGGTCTGCTAGCTCGCTAGTTATGATTGATTTGACTGAGCAACGTAATCTAAACTCTTTCGTCATCAGCTCCATTGGCAGCGGCGGAGTCTAGTGAAACACCTGCGCCATTATTTTACGTTATTGTCGCACATAGCGAAGCCAATATATCATTGATAGCCGATGACGACGATGCTGCTGCTGCCAGCGACTCATATGTGTGTGTGTGTGTGCTGTTATTGCTTGAAGTGCTCCACGTCGTGGATGTTGCACATTTCTCAGACGTCACAGAGATTCCGTGCCTTGCCCTGCCCCGCCCAGCTCTGCCTTGCCGGATGGCAGCGACCAGCCTGACCGTAGTGGGAATTGGGCTGGGCTGCGGCTGGGTCGTCGTACTGCTTTGGCCGGGCTCGGCACGGTATGGCCCAGCCCGGTCGGGTGACTTATGTTAGCTGCCGCTGCAGCCGGCACATCCATCATCTATCAAAGACGAATTCATCTCCGTCAAATCGCAGGGCCTGCGCTTTGAATGTGGGCTACAGCGTTTATGAATAAATTGCACGTACGACGACACCACATGGCTGCTGCACTTGCAGCATTGGCAGCAGCAGCTCCTCCTCGTGGCAGCAGCTCCTCCTCTTGGCCGCAGCCACGTCCCATGTCAACCCACTTGGCCGGCCTAGTCGCGCATTGCCAAATGAGCGCACAGGACGGGGTGACTCGCTGAGGGGGGGACACACAGACGAAAGGCGAAGACGATGACGATGACGATCATTTGGTGCCGCCGCCAGGAAATTTCAAATTTATTATCGCATTTGCCATTATTTATGATTTGTGCAAAATCTTGTCGTATATCAAAGTCAATGGTGTGACATAAACTATCGATGGCTATCGATAATTTACGTCAACTCTTTCCAACTAATAGCAACACCAACAACTGCAACAGCAACTAAAATAATGATGAGACTGCGAATGATGCCGTTGACAATGTGCTGCTGCTGCTAGCATATTGAGTTCGAATCGAGTAAACATATTTCGCGAATTGCATCCGCTTGAGCTGGCACCTTCGCTGCGAACGTGCTGAGCTCGTTTCGCTGGGCATGGCTATTCCAATCGAAAGCATTTATCATCAATCTCTGGACAAGTTTCGGTTAATCGTGACTCCACGCTCCACCAATATTTGTCTCGCAAATTTACCAGAAAACTTATTGGATAGTCTATTACTTCCTTTACTCTAAGAGTCTAGAAGAATTGAGCGTTTACAATATATATTTAAGCAAATTACAATTAAAGATTATTTAAATCAAAGTATAGGTAAATCTACGATATAAATATAAATATTATCAGTAAAACAATTAATTGATAAAAAATATTTATCGATTAAAGAGCATTTTGAAAACGTTGTCAGCCCATTCGAATAAATGTTACGCCGTTTTTTTGCATGCCTAATCTGCTACCTTTTCAAAAATACTAGAATAGACGTCACTCCCATTTTTTGCATACCTAAACTGAAAAATACCAACAAAGAAGAAGAAGCTGTCTGATTGTCAGTTTGAAGTTTCCGCATCGCACGTGTCTTAGAAACATCTCGACGTCTTTTCGTCAAACTTTTCTTACATCCGGTGTCTAATCAAACTCCATTTGCCCTGAAGTCGTCGACTGAAGAACATCTCTCATAGCTGAGCAAGTTGCATTCTGAAAATATAAGTTCTCCAATAAGTTTTTGAAAATTTTGAAGAAATATCTGAAAACAAGTTGCGATGGAGTCGATTGGAGATGCAAAGCCACAAGAGGTGCCTGTGACCCAAAAGCAGGAGGAGGAGTTCACTGAATTGGCTATGGAAACTGTCGAGAAAGGGCCAGCTGAGGCTATGGCTGACGGCGAAGGGGTAAAGATGGCAAAAGCTAACCTACAGATGTATGTGTGTGTGTGTATATATCAGAAGTGCTTCTCATTTATATAGGTCGAACTAGGGGCTCTAGCCGTCCCCATCGATCAGCCGATCAATGAAGTCGAGGAAGCTATGGAGAAGAAAACATTGACATCCATAATTACGCTACCCGAAGCCAAGCGGTTCTGCTCAGCTGAGCGGACATCTAAAATGAATCCGGAGTTGGTGGTGGCGCTGGTCGATAGGAGCCATGCGACCGGCTCGATCACCCTCAGCCAATGGCATCTGGTGGAGGCATCATTGAAAGAGGCCATGATGAATTTGATGAGTAATACCGGCATAAAGCCCGCTAGGTTCGAGGATGCCGGCTGGAAGGCCGGAACCAAGCTCATCCATTGCCTCGATGATTACTCTCTCAAGTGGCTCTGCGCTACTGTGGAGGCAGTGCAGCCGCCGTGGCCCAACGCTAAGCTGGCAATTGTCCACCAGAACTGCCAACTACCGCTAGTCAGGGCCAACGTGAGTTTACCCTCCGCAATGCCGACGGAGATAGTCGTGAATCTGTTCAAGTGGAAGAACACTAATACGGTCACCTCCGACTGGCAGATGGTCAGCGGGGTCAATGGGCAAAAGATGCCGTTGAACAACAACGAGACTGGTGGCATGAACTCGTCGAAGTATGACCGCATGGCCTGGCGCCTGAGCACTGTGTACGTTAATTTCAATAAGGAACCGGAAAAGCAAGCCAAACAGGCGATGAACGAAGCGGCTGGGCAGGCTGCTGCGGAGACTCCAGTCGAAAATGAGTTGCAAAATGCAGAGGAATCTGTCATGGGCGATCATGACGAAATTGAGGAGCCATCGGAGCTGCCCAATCGCGACGACGATATGGCTTAACCGGCTGAGCTATCGTAGGTGCTAGGTGCTCTATCGATATTATCATCGTATTCAAGGACAGTTAAAACCATCACAGCTTACCAGTACCTGAAGCAAAATATGAAGTACTTTGTCCACTGTCTTTCAGTCCTTAAATAGTATAATGAAACATTTCAATAAATGCGAGTTCCGATATTTGTTGAGTATATATTTATTATTTCGTATAATCGTGCTTAGTTGAAAAGTCGTGCAAGAACTGGTTCCATTAGGGCCTAAACTTTGCACAATAATTCCATTCAAATCGCCAATTATTGGGACATCGAAGTCGGAACAAACATCAAAGTGGCTTCAATTGCAATGCTGTAACGACTTGAGCGAACAGAATTTACAGTTGCATTATACACACTCTGGCACACTCGCACACACACACACACACACAGTTGCAGCTGGCTTGGAAGTTGTGCCGGAAAAATCTCTCGCATAATCATAAAATGACTTGGGAAAAAGGAAATTCTAGCGACAGATTTATGCACTCGAGAAAGCTTTCGCGCCGTTGAATGCATTCACTTCTCTCTATCGCTCACTCCCTCTCTCTCTCTCTCGTCCTCTCGCTCTATCTCGTGCTCCACGATGGCTGCGATAGTCCTGCCCAGGGTCTGGGTGCAATTGCGACGCTAAAATGTGAAGGCGGCGCAATCGCCTGGATTTAGTTGCAATTATTTTTAATGTTGTTTACTTACTCTTCCAATTGATGATGCCAATAACTGTTTCAGAACTTCTCGCTCAAATCGATGTGCGCACACACACATACATACATGCATGCATGTATATACACTTTCCAGTGTTGTTAAGTGTTCAAAATATCGTAAATATGAATTGAAAGTCGAGCAGCATTGCAAAATATCGTAAATATGAGCCCAAAGTGTAGAAAGAGTTGGATTGCAAAATATTTTGTATTCAAAATAGATTCGTGGCTGCATAAGTCGTAGCCACAATGCAGACTGGTATGTGAGCCAATATATATGTATGTATATCAAAGGATTATCTCTGAGTCTTTCACAAACTCAATCTTTCGCAGATTCGAGGAACTCACGCTGAGCTTTGGCAGCTTGGGACCTTTAGCTAATGGGAGTCGGAGGCAAAAGTATTCATAAATAATCCCATGAAATTACCACACGCATCAGACATTCAAGAGTTTTCCGCTTTCGAGCCTATTTCTGGGGGCAATCTCAATTACGAGAACAAGGGCACACAGCTAGACAGAAGTCGATCGAAAAACTAATCAAATGCCGCTGCCCCCCAAAAAATAGAGTGAAACAGGGCAGAAAAAGAAACCAGATGAGTCCTCGCCGCGAGTGGCACGTGGAGTATGAAACATTCATTTGACGCATGCGACATGCCACATCAGAGTCGGAGTCGGAGTCGGAGTTGGAGACGAAGACGAAGGACGGGAGTGATGCGCGAATTTGATATTATTGTATATGGCTGTGCGTGACGTTGCATCACGGACGAAATGGATGGAAATCGTGATGGAAGCTCGTCGAGCATAACAAGAGCCGCCAACTGACGCCTGATGGGCTGCATCAGTCTCAGCATCGGCATCGGCATCAATGAAAGTGGCGTCAAACACCAACCAAGTGAGCTCAGCCCTGGCAACATTTGGAGACGCCATTCACACGTACCGCTCATACATATCCGAGACACACAGGACTCGAGTTTAACCTTGTGCCTGGAGCGAAGGACGCATTGGGGGAGCACTGTTCTCGAGCACACTCGCACATCGGGCCAACAACCGGTCGAACTGAATGTTAGCTAAATTACCTAAGCAGAGCACAGAATTGGGTGTTTTAGTATTTCCAGTATTATATTGACTCTCCAGGAGAAGAGCATCTCAGCTAGTTTATGAATACAATTGTGTCTTGGCTCAGATCGAATCATTTCATATGGATAGCTAATTATGTTAGAGTGTTAATGGAACTGTAATCTAATCTTTGACTTGTCTTAAACAATTTCAAATGAAGAACCTATTTTTTCTGTTTAAATTATAATATTTGAAACTCGGACATGCATGTGATAACTTTCTTTTATTCAAGATTTAAATATTATTGCTTAGCTATACATAAGTCAATTTTTCATATCTTTAATGATCGAATTTTATTTTATTTATTTTTTTAAGCTGCTCTTGAAGCCAAATTTGAGAAATTTATATATTTAATAATTAGATTTAATATATTTAATAAAACTATTAATTGTTTTCTATTTTAGTTACTTTCGAATGGCTTTGCAGCTTGTAAGCTAACTTAAGATATATATATATATATATATATTATATTATAATATATATATATATAATATATATATATATGATGTTAGAGAGATTACTTCTAAATTTATTATTTAATACAGTTTTTTTTTTTTTTAATATTTTTTTAATAATATTTGTTTATTATTATCAGCTCTAATTATGTCTTAGTAAAATAAAAATATTAGTATTTCTCAGCAGTCACGCTTTATACAGTACGCCAATGCTGTATGGTCTCTACGTTCTATATAAGCACAGCACTTTGCTAAACCTAAACCAAAATTATTGTTCTGCAGTGCATTCCGAGGCTTTCAGAAAGACATGGAGAGATTATTAGTGAGAGATCGGGAGAGGGAGAGCGTTAGCATGCCGAAAAATGGGTGAGCTGTGGGCGGCAGGCGGCTGCTGTGTTTGCTGTGTTTTGTTGCATAGCTGCCGTCGCATCGGTCGCATCACATCCCACAGACATAAACAAGGCAAAGTTATGGACGCAGCTTATGTCCTGCCAAGCTGCTCCACATCTCAGCCACAGCGAGACAAACTTTCGTGCAATTGGGAAATGATTTGTGCAGTTCGTGCTGGCTGCCTGGTTGCCAAGGAGCATGGAGCATGGAGCATGGAGCGTAGCTAGCGAATGGTGGGACTGCTGATAAACGTTGTCCAGGCACTCGTGGCCGTGCTTGTTTCGCACCTGTCTCTCCTGCCGCGGCACAGGAGTACGCAGCGGGGCAATGATCCGGCCAAGCCATAAATAGAAAGCGAGTCAAGAGACCCTGCGGCATCATTGCCAATGGAAAATATGGCAGCGCGTTGTCGGTAATTTGCGCAAATTATGTGCAGCCAACGACGCCGACGCCAACGTCGACGTCGACTGCTGTTTGCCATTGCTGTTGGCTGGTCCAATCTCTCGAATGTGTGCACGTGCTAATGGCCGCTGGAGCCAGCGAAAATCGCCAACATCAACATATCCCAGTCTCTCGTCGAGTGCCGCCTCAAATCTCGGCCTGGCAGTGTAAGGGGCGGCGCGCCATTAGCATTGCCAATGGAATTTACGCGCCCCACACGTGCCCGAGACTGCGCTGGATATTGACACGATTCCGTCATCATCAAGTGGCAGCCGGCAGCGGGCAGCTGGCGCCAGGCGCCAGGCGGCAGAGCAGAGAGAGCATCGCCTTTTATCAGATTATTTGCAAAATGTTGCGCTCGATATCAAATTGTAATTTTCCTAATCTGATGCCAGGCAAGGCGTGTGCAAAATGTGGCTTAAATGGAGAAGAGAGAAGAGTTCAGACGGGGAGCTGATCGTAAGAACATACACAAAGCTCACCTCAGTCCCTAATGCAACTACAATACTCCATATCACATAGCACATCCAACTTCAGCTGAGGTTAGACAAACAACTGCATCAACTCCAGTCTAAGAGAGGGCTGAGTGGGCTGTCAAGGTTTATGGTCACATGCGGTGCTATTTATGACACGTTTCCGTCAAAATATTCGCGATTTGTGAGCGACACGACTGCAAATGCAAAACCCAAAAGCAGCAGGGGCAACGCTGACTCTCTTCCAAGTGCAATCACTTGTGAAAATCAAGCAAAGGGGGGAGAGTTAGCAGGTGGAGGGAGGAGACAGCTGCAAGTCGTAGCCACGTTGAGCACTTGAAACTGCAAAGGAAATGCCTATCGCTGTCAAGGACATAAATTGCGCTGACAGGGCGCAAAAATGTAGAGAGCTGCCAGAGTTGTAGCTGTGCATTTCAACGGTGTTCCAGCTCGAAAAAAAGAAAACCAGGACCAACTGCATAGCCCAGGCCCGCGATCCGCGACCCTGGCGGACCGCGCTGTAATGTATGCAGCAAAATATTTTTTAGCAATTGCATAAGGCAGGGACATCAATAAAATAAATAACAATAATTCTGCAAAATGCCCATAAATCCATGGGGCGACGTCATAACTTTCGTTTTTATGACTCCCCTAGACTAGACAGACAGACAGGCTGACGCGGCGGCACTGGAAGGGATGGGACGGGGTGGGGCGGGGCATGGGGAGTGGGGGTGGTGGTTCCACCTGCGTGGCAGTCCGTGGGCCACGTCAGTCAGCAATAAATAAATGCAAGCTGGCAGTCAGTTGGTCGTCACACAGGACATGCAGGACACACGGGGCAGCAGAAAATTGCAGTTGAAATTATTGCATTTAAACAGGACATTATCACACACACACACACACACAGAGCGAGAGAGAGACAGAGAAGGAGAGGGCGACAAAGACGGGGCAAAAATTGCAGCAGTTTGCTTTTCCAGTTGCGGTCCTTGCTGTGTGTGTGTGAGATAGAGATAGAGAGAGAGAGGGGCAGGAGCAGGTCCTGTCATTGTTGCTGCGACTCATAAATTAAGTCCTCATAACGGCAAAGTTATTGAAGTAATAAAATTTTACACTGACATTTGACAATCGATGCGTCGCCATTGCCATCGACAGCGACAGCGCCAGGACACGACCCGGACACGGCCAGGACAACGCGTTCGTGTTCGTGTTGCCAACGTTGTCAAAAAATGCAAAAAGAAGTAAAAGAAAAACGCATGATAATCAAATGAAAGCTGCAATCGGAGCAGACGGCGCAGCAACCGCGTTAATTTGATTTACTAAAATTAAATTGAGGAGAAAACAAACAGATTTGGCTAGAGACTTCGATAGATATTCACTTTTTTAGGGATTTAAGATAAAATTGATTAAATCTTGTAAAGAAAAATGTTAAAGTTTATGATCAGCAGAAAATGTTTAACAAATTTTGAGATCATTTTACACTCATGGCAATAAAAATAGGGCAGGCTGTCGAGCGATGTAATTAAGTGGATTTTTATTGTGCTAAAAATATATATAGATTATGTGCATATATACATCTCTGAATATGTATAAAAATTAAAAAAGAAATAAGATAATTTTCCTATCATGAAATTTTTACATTAGCAAAAACTACTTGGTTCTTAGTTTGGCCAAAGTAAATATATGTATGTCATACATAATTCATATATTGAACTACTAATTTTTCAAGATTTTGAGGTAATATGTCATTTGGGAAAAAGTCTTAATATAATATAATACAATAATATTACATAATATAAAAATGCCTAAAGAGAACTAACTGAAGAACATGATATTAAGATCAGAAGTAAGGGATTAAGAGCATATTAAGATTTTATAAAATTTTCGTATTTCTTTTCTTTCTTTAATCCCAGATGTAATTGCTTAATGTGCAATTGGGTAATCAAATTTGCACTTTCAAAGCTCTTAAACAAATATTTTTACTTCAATATAAAATAATCGAAGCATAAATTATATAGGTGTAAAATACTTTTGCTGCAACACATTTAAAGACTTCGCCGTAAGCCACTTGGATTATATGCTCCACTGGACGAAGCCCCTTCAGCTGTCATGTTGGTAATCCAGCTTTAATCATATAAATATTTTGCTGTGATCTTTTGATGCAATGTTTTGCCAGTTAATTTGCATTTCATACACTTTTTGCGTGTGGTAGTTTTGTTTGCCTTCCTCGGCTCGGTTGGGGGGTCGGGGGACGCACGTCTGTCTCTTTGCATATGGCCCGACATTTATTTACCGTAATTTACCCACACCGATGTCTAATTAAATTTACCGGCGATTAACCAACTTGCTGGCTAAACTCAAAACAGAAGCCTCAACCAGCCACCCACCACACACACACACACACACACACACAGATAGACAGCCGCATACACACACACACATACGTGGAGAGACCAACGAACCGAAGAGACGACAGTAATTCGTTTATAATGCGTAGGACATGTTGACAATGCCACAGGACATTCGTAATGAGGAGGCAAATGTGACAAGGGGCGAGAGGTATGGGAAGAGGAGGGGGAGCGGGAGGGGGTGGGTGGACTGCTGTGGGTGTGTGCGTGCATCAAAAGCGAAGAAACTTCCCGCTTTGGCAACTTGAAAGCCGCCCACAGACTTTGACACAAGGAAGATGAGCAGCCGCAGCAGTAGCAGCAGCAGGAGAAGCAGCAGGGGCAGCAGCAGCAGAAGCCGTTGCAGCGGGGCGAGGAAGCTGAGACGGCGGCTGGTCAGACAGGGGTTGGACCCGCTGACAGTTTGGTGCTTCAAAGACTTGCCGGGCTTGACGCATGTAAATGTGGTTGAAGTAATGACGAAATGGGCACTAGACATACACACACACACAGACAGACGCACATACATATAGAGAGAGACAGACAGACCCCTGATGCTTCACCCTTGCCCCAATCCTTTTGACTCTGGGCCGTGGTCTGCCTGCTGTTGATGTTTGCCCTCATTAATGTTGTTGTTGTTGTTGCGGTTGACATCGTTTTGTTTGCCTAAAGGACGAGCGCATATTATTGCAGCGGAAAGGCCCTTGGGTGGGTGGTTGGCCGGCAGGTGCGGCGACTCGACGTCTTTTTAGTAGGCACATTTGCTAGCCGCGCATAAACCCTCAAATCCGAGCCCACGCACCCAGCCAACGCCGACTCCTTGCGCTAATCCCTGATGTGTCTGTGACATTTGCACTGACAGTGACAACACTTTGATGGGTACAGCCAGAAGCAGCCACAGCCACGGCCACAGCCACAGCCACGGCCACAGCTACGGCCATAGATCTGGAATCTGTGATGACAATGAGACTGACAATGACGCGACATTTCCATGCGACTTGCCCCCGAGCAGCCTTGGGCTTTGTGCCTCAGCCGTCTCTTGGCTCTGCCAATTACATG